CTCGTCCCACACCAACACACACTCCGAGCCAGAGATAAGTTATGGCATTTAATTAACAGACAGATAGGTCTTTGGCAGCAAACCAGCACAGACAAGCTTGGGCAGCAATAAACACAGATAAGGCTTGGCAGCNTGTTATTGTTTGTATATCCCTTCCCTTTATTTTATGTAAGCCGCCCTGAGTCCCCTCAGGGAAAAGGGCGGCCTATAAGTGTTAACAAAACCCTAAAACCCTAATAAACCCTAAACCTAAACCTAACCCCCCTAAACCTAATCCTAAACCTAACCCTAAACCTAACCGTTAACCTAACCCTAACCCTAACCCTAACCCTAACCCTAACCCTAACCCTTAACCTAACCCTAAACCTCACCCTAAACCTAACCCTTACCTTAAGTTGAATTGCTTGCTTTCAAAGCACTATTTAAAGCGCCCTTCTTTCTCCACGCTCGCTGTTGTCACCCTGTTGATGGCGTCAGCGACGCGGTTTAGTCGAGTGCGGTTTAGTTGAGTGCGGTTTTGACGGGTCACGAAAGGAGAAGAATATACTTAGGTAATAGGAACAGCAAACAGCAGAAACTATTAAGTGCATAGAATAATGTTGGCTAATCTTTCCTTTACAAAGGTAAACAGACGTTTCTAAACACGGGGAGAAAACTTATCAATTGAAGATTATAAATCTGAGATAGTGCTTCTGGGTTTTTTTTCGATACACCACATTCCTAGTAAACTTGTATCTTTTTAAAAAGCAGGGGTGAAATACTACTGGTTCTCACCGGTTCGCTAGAACAGGTAGTAAAAAAAATCTTTTCAAAGTGGGGGAAAAAGTTTCCGTGACACTCAGCTGTGCTTTTCACTTTTTAAAGCATTTTTTACTACCGGTTCGAGTGAATAGGAGGTTAAAAAATGCTTTAAAAAGTGGGGGGTGAGATTTTGATGATCGGGCAGCACAGCTGATTGTCATACAACCTTTTTTTCACTTTTTAAAGCATTTTTACTACCTACCGTATTTTTGGGAGCATAAGATGCATTAATTAAAATATCTTTCAATATTTCCAATATTAAAATATTTTGCTTCAGTCTATATTTCTAAGTCAAATTCAAGGGCTCTTTCATTGTAATCATTAGGTCCTTCTAGTTCCCACTAGTGCCCAGTTTTTAAAATCTTACCTTAATAACAATTAGATTTTGATTTAATTGATTACTGTATTTTTTGGAGTATAAGATGCACCGTTTTCTCTCAAAAAATAGGCTGAAAATCTGGGTGCATCTTATACATCGAATACAGCACTTTTTGCCTCCCAAAGCCCTGCCTCTTCACCAAAATGGCCGTGCCTAGCCTTATGGAGGCTTTCAGACAGCTCCTGGGAGCAGGGGGGGGGGGGAGAAAAGAGCAAAAATGGGCTGTTTTTTGCCCCTCCC